TCCGTAAATAGTATTCGATTTAAAAAAATTTGATTTAACAATACTTTTTCACGTAACCAGGCAAAAGCGCTTGTACACGTTGTATATGATACACCTATATAGTTGAGAAAAATATCATCATTTAACTGACAAATTATCTCAAATTGACCGTGTGGGAAAAATAGTAAGTTTCACAGATGACATAGCAGTTCTTTCTACAGGTGATGATTGGTCTCATTTAAGTGATAACAGTATAGTTGAAAATGATTTTGTCAAAATTATCCAGTGGCCTAATAACAGAAAAGTAAGCATTAATTATTCTAAAACACATTTATACCATTTTCTTTCTATTCCAGACATCTACCAAATTACACAAACATCTCATATATCGTGAATAACCAGAAATTAGAAATTAACATAGCATCAAATATAAAATACCTTGGAATATTCCTGGATCCACACTTGCGTTGGGATGATCATACTTCATATATTTTCAAAATAGATATGTCTCTTAAAAATTAAATATATCAAACACATGTTAAACAAACATACCTTGATCGAGCCACAGTCAGTATTTTGACATGGGGAGCTACATGCTTACTGATTTTAAAAGCCATGTTTAACAAACCAACTGATATCATATACAAAGATATACACGCATATGACTTAAAACGGCTTTATGTCTTACATGCTATACCTTTATTTAGGACCAAACTTATACGTTAATTTAAGAGAATAGTTTCAAGAAAAAGTTAAAAGGATTGATTTTTTTTCTGGCAATACCAGACATACACAAATTGATTCTAAATGTAAACATCAAATTAATAATTCGTTGATAAGTTATACCTCTATTTATGTTTAAATAATATGTACAATGGCAATATTAATGGTCTATGTACAGGCAATGCCACCTATGCGCCGTTACTTGATATTTATTTACTAATTTTTTATATTGTCTTTTAGGATTAAACGGATATTATTATTATGATGCTGCACTGCAAAATTCATTTGAAATTATACCTTATACATGTATCACGGCAGAGAGATGCTACCTATTTTCTGTAAAATCTCTCATAAGTCATCCCAATAATATGTTCTAGAAGTGAAATACGGCGCTGAAGCCAAAAAGGACATGTTCAGTTTTCGTTCAATAGATCTTGATCTGTCCTTCTAGTCTTCTACATTAAAGTCTATTAATTAGTACCATATACAAAAAAATTGGGAAGAACCAAAGTTTCGTTACAACCAATATTATTCGGTATTAGGAAGATTCTGATTCTCTTAAAGTCATGATCTGTATTCAGATCTGAAAACCTGTGTGATTCTATGGTTGTTGACCATGGAGTTGTTTCAAGAGTTCGAACATTGAAATTGTTCAAAGGTTCCAAATTAAAGTTGTAAGGAACATGGTCAATGCTATTTGATTTGTTCGCAATAAGGACATTCATCGCGATAATATTCCTCTAGCTAGAGATGAGATCACGAACGGAGCGGCCGGAAACGATGAGAGGCTGCATCAGCACATTAATGCAGGAGCTCCTCAACTGCTTGAAAACCTACTCTATCCAATACTTGGAAAGGACTAAACCAGCGAGCCTCTTAGTGTTTTTTGTCTAAAGCAAAGTATCTGCGCGAGTTGGTAGTGATATTATTTATTATCCGTTAAATTTAGGAATATAGAATGAAAGTATTGGTTACTCAAATTGATGAGTTTAAATGTTCGGGCATCAAAACAAAAAAAAAACTCGCTCGTGGTATCATAAAGAAAGCGGCATATGCGACAATACGTAATATGAAAGTTGTGTGTTCGAGTCCCAACGTCATAAAATTTGTGTTCTGTTCCTCCATATTAGCACTATCTATACAGAGTGTCCTGAAAGTTGGGACTTCCCTTTTCAGAAACAACTATGTTTAGAATAACGGAGATGGTTTGCGGCAAAACACCACCGAAAACGTAAAACAGGAAATTGAAGAAAAATATTTATTATATCATTTATAGTACGTCATTTTAAGTACTGCCCTGTCACATGTAATGTTTGTAATTACAGCTTTTGCACGCGATAAACAAAACTACGCAGCGTTGATGGAAATCTACGTTATTTCTATATGAATGTGTTTATTCCGGTTTTCAAACCCGGTTTGTTTACAAACCAGGTTAACCTACACACCGTGCGGCGCCTGATTTGGATTCTGACTCACACAGTCATAGTACCACAAAACCCTTTGACGTAGGTGAGAAAGGGCTTATTTTAACTTTGTCGGAAATTACTATCTCACTTACCTTAAGGCTTTGTGTTACTAGAAAAACTCACTTACTACTGCCTGAGCTATACAATCTGTAAATCCCCAACTTTAAGGACACCCTGTGTAGTCTAGTCCTATTGTGTCTGTACTATATGATACGGTAGGGTCGAATGAATACTGTAAAAGTTCAGCTGTATTCCGGTGGCTAGTAATGAGCTGCGGAAGATCGATGTGCAGTTTTAATATCAGATGTGGGATATGGACGGAATACCAAATAGCTTTTTAGTTATGATGAATGATTCCACAGCGAAGCATAAGCTACTACGTGATCAGTTTGGATTTTGTCTAGTCTTATGACGTGGATTTTTCTCTTTGTTGTGGTAAAGACATTACCGTTAAATATATATAGCGAGGCAGATGTAGTTAATACGTACAGGATGTAAAGAAATAACGGAGCGGCTCTGGATGTTTCCAGATAAAGTATTTTTAAAAAAGGTCAACTTAGACAAGAGTTTCAGTGGACATTATCGTTTTAATTGAAAATGTAATGATTTCATAAAAAGCAGTAGTTTATTCCAAAACATGTCCATCTGATTCCCAACACGTTTTGAACTAGTTCTAACAGTTCTGGTTTTGAAAGAGAACTGAAACATCAAATATTAAGCGCATGCGCATTAACAGAATAAATAACGTCGATCAGCTGGTAAGTTGCATTTTATGTCTGCCAATTTGTGCATTTTTCACTTTTTAGTGTTTTCATATATCAAACCTAAATTTTAACTGCTTATTGTGCCGTTCATTAGGCATATTCAAAAAAGAGTGACGATGAACATTACCTTGAAACAGATTCAAGGCAGGATGAAGATCTTGTGCTGTTTACAAGAGTCCCAAAAACAAGAAATGAAAATGATATAGGCAAAAGTATTGACAATTTGGATGAATTTGTTTCAATCGTGTTTTAGTAGCATAAATATGGTGTTGTATATGATATATATATATATATTCATTGTATATTTCAGGTTAACTCAGAGCTCAGTATGTTAACATTCCACTTAATTGCTTCCTCTGCTTCTGTAACTGCATGCTTCCTCTAAAGGCAACATGAATTCTTCCAGCCCTAAAAAAGAGGAAACTACGTACTAGCCACTCCTCTCTTGCTAAATCTGCCATCTTGCTTTCCCAATTTTTTTAAAAGGATTTACGGTATGTCAAGAAACAATAAATCTTAAATCCCAGGTCTATCATAGAGAAACTTGATAATTTTCAATTTTGATTCAATTAAGCCCTTTAATTCCCTATTCCAACATATTAGTTTGGAACTAGTTCTAAACTGATTGGTGGAACAAACCTCAAGCTAAGTAAACATGAAAGTAGCATATACAGAAATTGTTAGATGTTAAACACACTTAATAAAAAGGAAGAAAAATTGTTGCAAGCTATTATTCAATTAATTCTGTAAGGAAAACTTCAGAGGAAAAAGAAAGCACTCTTGGTTATTTTAAATGATCTCAATTGCAT